CCATGTTTGGCCTAGTTTTAAAAATTTACTTGCTAGTATGTTTTAAAATAAATAACTTTCCAAACGAGAATAATCCACTATTTGATTGAGATACATTTTGATAAAAGCTGAAAGAATGTGTGGTTGGAAACTTTTGGATGTCATAAAATGTGCGGTTAAAATTAATTGTTGATTTTGACTTTGATTTTAATCAACTTTTTACCCGAATCAAATAGGGGCTAAATAAGTTTTTCTTTGTCATCCTCTTTGCTGTCCCTTTTTGTGGTGTCCTTTTGATTGAATTATATATGTCATATGATACTATCAATCCCATTATTTGGATTTCATGTGATTATTTTTCATTTGAAATTTAATTTAAGCGTCTGTTTGATATCTTTCATGTTCCATGGAACTTAGAAATCATTTTTCATTTTTCATTTTTTACAATGTTTGATAGGCAAAAATTTTCTTGGAATTGGTTTTCCTCCCAACCCCGACGTGACCTCCTTTTCTTGGTTTTCATTGAATTTGTTTTCTCACCACTTTGATGGGAAAATTGTTTTCCACATAAAAAAAAAAAAAAAACAAATTAGTAATGGAGACAAATTATATCCCTAATTGTAACAAATTTTATTCATTTAATGGACAATTTTCATGTTAAATAAAGCCAAACGAACACCAAAAAATTCAAAATTTCAATATTTTTCACGTGAAAATTATACTAATCAAACACAATTAATGAAATTCTAGGCAATTCAATTCCCTAGAATTTATTTTATTTTCACCCAAATTTCACTATTGCAATCAAATGGACCCTAAAAGTTTTTAACTATAGTAATAGATAAATAGACCAATCCCTTTTAAATTTAAATTAATTTGTCTACTTTCTGCAATAGAAAATTTATTTTATTTTTTAAATTGATTTTGTTTGTCTGATCGATCTAACTTTTCTAATTTTGGATGGCTTGACGTGATTATAAATTGATTCACGACTAAACCATCTAGCTATGGCCTAATCTATAGAATCGTTTCTAAATCTTTAGACAAACTATTTAAAATATACGTATTACTGTAACAAATTAAAAAAAAAAAGTCTTAAATTTTATTCTCATCGTCGTTCATATAAAAAATAAATTCAATAATGTCATTCAATAGTGTCTGAAAAGATTAGATGATTATATTATTTTCTCATTAACATTATTAAATAAATTTACTAATATAGAAAGTCCTTTGCCTTGAGAGGTTAAGGTTCGGTCCTACATCGTATTGATTGTCGGTAGGCCATTTTCAATTAATAATTTTATTGACTTCCAGTTATAAACAATACAATACTGTGAGCTTTGAATTAAAGAACTCAATCACATTCAATCATTAAAGGCAAATATAGAAATTCTGTCTCTTGTGGTGATCAAGCTACTTAGAACGCTCAAATTATTCACAAAAAACCTCGCTAGAAAAGTCTCGATCTCAAAAGTTTATATCAAGAAATTGAACATTGGTTTCGTGCCTCTAGACAAACCTATGTTTGAAATTCACTTATATTATAATAAACAAGATTTTAGTTTCGTATACGTATTTATGACATTGAGGATGAAATATATTTCCTTCATGCAACTGAGTCCTTAAAATTTTGAAATGAAGTATTCAACTTGGACATGATCCAAAATAATTTCAATATCGAGGCCTAGGATCATTTCAAATTAATTATCTCGTTTGGAAAGAAAATCTTTTATTTCATAATAGCTTACTCTCGTCAACTCTCAAGTTTCATAACTTACGATCAGCTATCGTGATAATGAATGTTCAAGATTTTTTATCTCGTGATAGCTTACTCTAGTTGACTCTTCAGTTTCATAGCTTTTAATCCGCTATCTTGAACATGAACGTTCCATTAACAATCCATCTACTTTAGATATGCCAACCAATATTGATAATGTAGGAAAGTATTCCAACTTTTGAGCAAATTTGTTATTATCTAATCTATGGTAAAGAAATGTACACGAACAGCAACTGTTGACTTTATATGTTGCAAAAATATACAAGTCAAAAGTTGTATGTAGTTGCATGTATATTTTTTCTAGTTGTAGGGCTCCATTTTCAAGGCAATTTTCTAGGGCAATTTTTGCATAAACACAAAAATACTCCTGTTTCGTGGGGATCAAAATCAATTTTTTAGTATATTTTGATAGAAGTTGACGAAATGTGTTGTTGAAAAGTTGTGAAACTCGTAAAATATGTGATTGAAATGAATTATTGACTTTGATTTAAATTAAAATTTATATTTTAATCGGTACCAAACAAGAGTTAATGGTATCTTTGAATTACTTCAATTAAAAGTTTAATTTATTAAAATAATCAAAGATTATTTAATAAATTCTTTCTTGTAGGTAATATAGAGATATACGTATTAAAAAGAGATGCAAAATTAAGTGTCGGCAAATAGGCCCCGTGCATGCAGTAGCGTAGGACAGAGGTAGCAAACAGTTGAACTAACCATTTATTTTGTCTGAATTCCACATTTTGTAACAATCTATTATACATTTTGTAACAATCTATTATAATAAATGTCATTTCTTGTGTTACAAAAAGATATCATATGGATTTGAAAGTGATTTCTTAACAAATTAATCATTTGAATTATTTATTTGGAATATATATACGTCCGTACAACATCTATATTTGTAACAAGCTCAAGTTGGTCTACCATGTTTGGCCAAGTTTTAAAAATTTACTTGCTAGTATGTTTTAAAATAAATAACTTTTGAAACGAAAATAATCCACTGTTTGATTGAGATACATTTTGATAAAAGCTGAAAGAATGTGTGGTCGAAAACTTATGGATGCCATAAAATGTACGGTTAAAATTAATTATTGACTTTGACTGGGCTAAATAAGTTTTTCTTTGTCAAATTAGAAAATAAGTAAGATACTTATTCACACATGTTTGGAGATAAAATTATTTTTAGTCCCTGTTTGATTTTATTAAAAATCAGATATTCAGTAAATTTTGATAAAAGTGGATTAAACGTGTGGTTGAAAAGATACGAGACCCATAAAACATGTAATTAAAATTAATTATTAATTTTGATTTAAATTTAAATTTAAATTTTATCAACTTTTTAGCTAAATCAAACAGGGCTTGCTTGCTTTTAAACTTAATCGACTATGATTAATTCAAGTAGAAAGCTCCAATATTCATATATACACCACAGTAAATTATAGTAACCATGCCCGGTAGTTGGTATGGAGATCAAATGTTCACTCCGAGAAAACGTGAAAATAGAAACAAAAAAGCAACGAACAAATTGCATTGGCGACGATGAATATCTTTTTCAATTTATTTAAAAAAGAACAATAAACCTAGTGACATAGGCAACAACACTAGTAGAATTCATTGTTGAATTAGCGACGTCTCCTAGGACGCAAAAATTCATCGTTGAATATCTTTAGCGGCAAATTGTAGTGCTTCAGCGATGAAAAAATATTCGACACAAAAGCCATACTTTTAATTCGATAGTGGATGTCTATGCTTAGAAAAAGAAAATCTATGTTCGAACATAAAAGTAGAAGTATTGAATTTTATAATTTCCACATTGAACAAGTGGGTTTTTTATGCCATTAAATGCAAAGTCTAACTGAAAACTAAAAATTCAAGAAAATTGAATTTTAAACTTGTTATTCAAACTTTCAAAGGGATAGGTCGGTTATGAGAACCCCACATTTGTCTGCTTCACATGGCATTACAGCAAAATACAATAAAATAATATAAGTGAAAACATGTAGTTACGTGTACTACGTTAATTTGATTCGAGTCATTCAAGTTAGGACAAATCGAATATTTCAATCATTAGATATCCTCTCAATTTTAGCAGTAATAATTTTTTTATCTAAATATCCTCTTTGCGTGGAAATGTAAGTGCGCCATTTTTCAATAGTTGATGGAAATGATATTTCGATTTTGGATTTCTATCTAATCCGACGCTATAGATATATATATTGAACCATTAATCTAAAAATTTAAGATGCTGAAGAAAAAATTGTATGAATGTTTCATCGATGTAGATGAATTCCTAACAATTGCAAAAATCTCAAAATTTATGTGGAGTGTTTTATAGGGTAGGGTGAAGAAGATGAAGTGATTTTTATTTTTTCAACAAATTTACTTGTCAAAAAATAGATGGGGGACAAATTTGTAACTCTAGCAATAGGTTGGATATTCAAATTTTATATTTAAAAAATGTTTATTCTTGCTTGAATAATGTATCTAATTGTTTAGTGATATTACTTTATATTGCTAATAATACATAAATTTATTATATGAGCAAATTGATAATTAAAAATGATATTTATAACCTATAGAACTAATTGGATCTAGAAGATAAAATGAAAATAAGCTATGATATTATCTTTCCTTGTGAAGTCATTCTCGTTAGCTAAAAGAGAGGCTTACGTCGATTTGATTTGAAATTTTACTTTGACGAAGATATCTTTAGTTTATAAATCTTAAAGCACTCTCAGATTTTTTTTTATGACAAATCGGAATAATTTTGTACAACTCGAGCATTCTAAACATATCTCCAAATTACTTCATCGATTTCCATATCTTTGCCCACCCTTTCCGGATTAAGCAACCCTAAACCACAAGCTATCTCATAAATAAAAAGGAAGTTTAGAATTTTTTATGAGTAAATATATCAAAAGTATTTCATAATTTCTTGAGTGCATCCCCATCAACCTCCTCATTATTTCTTGAATAAAGCTATTTGTACAAAAGGAATTTGACAAAAATGTTGACAAACACTCACATGATTGCCAGCCCCACATGAATAAAAAATTGAAAATAAAAAGTGGGCCCCCCCACATGTGAGTGTTTGTCAACATTTTTGTACAAATTCTTTTGTACAAGTAGCAATGTCCTTATTTCTTTTGTGTGGGACCCTTGAACTATTGCTAATTGCTATATATACCCAGTGTACTGCCATACATCCCCATATACGTACTCTTACCAACCCTCATTTGTCATGACTCTCCAACCCTCATTTGTCATGGCTCTCTTTGTATCTCTATTCATAATTTTCTTGTTCCCTTCGAGTAATTGTGCTCAGGGTCCACCTTCTCCTGGCTACTACCCCAGTTCAAGAATTGGCTCAATGGGGTTCAACCAAGGATTTAGGAATCTTTGGGGTCCTCAGCATCAACGTATAGACCAGGGAACGCTCGATCTTTGGCTTGACAGAAACTCGGGTACGTAACACTCACTATTTATGTATTTATGTGCTTGTCTCTTTATGTGTGTTCTTATTTTGATGCAGCATTTTAACTGCTTGGTGGCATGGGTTGAGCTTTTTTACTCTGTGTTTATCCTTTCTGCCGAATGTTTTCATTACAGGAAGTGGTTTCAAATCGCTTAGTCCCTATTCATCTGGTTACTTCGGGGCCGCAATCAAGCTCCATCCCGGTTATACTGCCGGAGTTATTACCTCTTTCTATGTAAGAACACGCAGCACTTGATAGGGTTCGACAGTACAACTGACAAGATTCTAACTTATTTTTCTTTCGAGTCTAGCTAGTTACCATATTATCATACTATATGCAGTAGTTTTTAGACTTTTCAACTTTTCTGTTTGACAATACATGGCAGCTTTCAAATAGTGAAGATCATCCAGGGAACCATGACGAAATTGACATTGAATTCCTTGGAACAACACAGAATAAACCTTATACTTTGCAAACAAATGTGTATATCAGAGGAAGTGGAGATGGAAATATTATAGGTAGAGAGATGAAATTTCGCCTTTGGTTCGACCCAACAAGAAATTTCCACAACTATGCCATACTGTGGAACCCTAGTGAGATCATGTAAGTACATGGAATTTAATTTAGATTTTTTAATTTGTAAGAAAATTGATTTTATATCCACGCATGCATGTTCGTGTATGCAACTATGCACTCTCATATTCATACAAAACCATGCTCATTTAAGTCATTGTATTGCAGCTCGAAAGAGTAATGCTATTCAGCTGATAATCACCGGTTCACGTGGAAGCGACCTTATAATTTATTGTCCAATTGAATTATGATGCATTTTAATATATTGAAAATTGAATCGGAGCACTACCAATGACGACGTAGAGTGTAAAGGCTGGACAGGTCTAGACGAACTCATTTCAATAGGTACTATTTCATGGACACGAGTAAAAAACAAAAATCGATACACCGTACTAATTGGTAGGCCATGTTGAGTTAATATATTTGAGTAAGATTCTCATAATTCATAAAAGTTATAAATGGATTTGGGTAGAAGTCAAGAAAAGGAGACACAAAAGCTAAATTTGCCCCATAATTTTTAATTATCCTATGATGTGATGTGCAGATTTTTTGTAGATGATGTGCCCATTAGAAGGTATCCGAGGAAGAGTGATGCCACATTCCCATTAAGGCCTATGTATGTTTATGGATCGATATGGGATGCCTCGTCTTGGGCCACTGAAAATGGAAAATATAAAGTAGATTATCAATATCAACCATTTGTTGGAAGATACAATAATTTTAAGATAGCTGGTTGTAAAGCCAATAGTGCAGCCTTGTGTCGTCCATCAACCGGTTCACCATATGGCTCTAGTGGGCTGAGCCGCCAGCAGTACGACGCCATGGGGTGGGTGCAGAGAAATTACAAGATTTATGACTATTGCCAGGATTCAAAGAGAGACCACAGACTCACACCTGAGTGTTAGGATTGGGCCCAATAGGGTTTTGTAAGTGGCTTGAGATGGGCCCATTTTCCAAAATGGATACTAAATTGGGTTGAAGCGTCCAAGCCCTGATTGTACTGTCAAACCCAATATGGGCTTGTGTGTGTCAGTGTGTGTGTGTGATTTTATTTTTATTTTTATTTTTGGTGTTGTAATAAAAGAAAAGGTGTACTTTCTCAGTCCTATAATTGTTGTTGTAGTTTATCATAAAATTTAAACTTCATACAGATTTATTTATTTTAATTAATTTTTTCGTGTTGAATTTTATATCTTAATTAAAGACTTGAAATGTTTTTTTTTTTTTTTATTAAATGAAAAGCCAGAATTGCTTGAAGCATGGTTATTTATTTTTTTCTTCAACATTAATAATATGCGTATACATATAGAGCTTGTTTTGACGAGGCTCTTGAAAAATCAAAATTTATTTTCTTGACTAAAAAGTTATTTTTCGACTTATTTGGATCATTTTAAAGAAATATTTTATTTGATTATAAGAGATTTTAGAGAAAATTGATCCAACGTAAATTAATCAAAAAGCTTTCTACAAAAAGTGAAAGCATGTCGATGCCCGATGGTATGTAATAAACTTGCAGCTAGTGATCAAATTAAGTAACCAATTGAATACAAAAAATTAAAGGTTTACGTTTGTATCATTTTTTATAGAATCCTGCTATAGGTACAGAAAAAACACGATCCTTGTAATTGGCTAAGCCAAAATACAGTCCCTGCAATGATCCTGCGATGTTTTTCCCTGTACGTGGATTTATCCCTAAAAAAAAAGGGCATTCCACTTTTCATTGTGTCATGCATTTTGAGGGATGAAAATTGAGTTTCTATTTTTTTTTTTAAAGTTAGTACTCTTTTTATTATAAACTAAAAATTCAATCTCGAGCAGGAATTTTAATTTTTATTATTATCTAAATATATTAATTATTAATTAGGATTAGTCATTAAATTAAATTTTTTAGTTGTTATAAGGGCAATTAGCAAAAAATATCCCTCTCATTTCTACTTAGGGCATGTTTGATAGCCCCTTATTTTTCATGGAATTTGGAATTGAAATTTCATTTCCTACTTTTGTCATGTTTGATGATACTTTTTTTTTCCTTGGAATTGATTTTCCATCTTTACTAGTTTTTTTGATTTTAGTTGAATTGAAATTCCCACCTTTTAGGTGGGAATTGAAATTCTATCTTTTTTTTTTTTTTTTTTTACAATAGAAACAAATTCTATCCCCAATTGTAAAAAATTAATTCATTTAATTGATAATTTTCATATAAAACAAAGCTAAACGAACGCCAAAAATTTTCTAATTTTTTTTTGGCAATTCAAATAAATTATATCCCTAATTGTAAGAAATTATATCCATTTAATTGACATTTTTCATGAAAAATAAAGTCAAACGAATACAAAAGATATAAAATTTTAACAATTTTTAAGTGAAAACCAATCAAATACAATTAATTGACAATTCCCAATAAAAAAAAATTCTAGGCAATTTAATTCCCTACAATTCCTTTTTTTCCATCCAAATTGCATCTTTAAACCAAACAGACCCTTATTGCAGAAATAGTTCCTATCGTTTCAAACTTGACATTTATACCTTCATTTCAAACTTTTCTTGTGAAGTTGGTTGTTTACATCGTGTTCCGTTAAATCATTCAATGAAATATGGGTAATTGAAGAAAAATGTCCCTATCTTTTATCTTCATTGCACAAATTGTCTCTATTGTTTCAATTTTCACTTTGGGTGCTCATATCGACCTTTCTTTGAGCAAGAGTTCCCTAGTGTCTATTTTCTCCATTAAATCATTGTAACATGACTAATTTATATTCCACTTTAAATAAACAAGTAGAAAAGAAATAAATAATATAAAAAATTGCATATAGAGTTTCAAATTTCTTTAAAAAATACAAAGGAGTCTCATGTAAAACATTTTAAAATATACTAACAAGAGGACAATATTTCATCTTCTCCATTAACCCACCTACCCCTACCCCTACCCTCCACCACCAAAATAATTAAAAAGATTATTTAAAGTATAACAAGCCAAGAAAATAATTAAAAATGTTAAAAAATGATACTTCTTCCTCATTCAATTTCTCACCCTACCATCGATCGCCGTCACCACCACCCATTCTCTCCATCCCACTATGGCACCATCCAAGAATTTAGCTATTTTCTTGTAATCTAATATCTTTATGTTTTTAGTGAAATTACATAATTTTTTAAGGGATTTACCTATTTTTTGTATATTCTTGTTTTTATGTTCTTATTGCTGATTACGTATACATATATACACACTGCATCATCTTTTGAATTTTGTTCAAGAACAGATAAATTTCTATATATGAGGCAAAAGAAACTTGGATGAGGAATAAGCACCATTTTGTTTTATTTTTCTATTTTTAATTCATTTCTTACTTTTTTTTTTAAATACTTTTAATAACCTTTCTAATTATTTTGGTGGTAGTGGCGGTGGATGGTGAATGGGTGTAGTTGTAGATGCGTGTTAATTGGGAAGAAATTTTTTTTTTCTTTGTAGTAATGTTTTACATTATTTTATTTGAGACTCGTTTGTACTTTTTAAAAAAACTTGAAACTCTAATGTAAGTTTTTTAATTTCTTCATTTTCTATTAGTTTATTTAAAGATGATGATAAATTGTCATTTTATAATATTTTAATTAATGGAGAAAATAGATGGTAATAACTCTTTACACAAAGAAATGACGATCTAAGTGCTCAAATGTCAAAATTGAAATGATATGTACGATATGTGCAATGAAGGCAAACGATAAAGACATTTTTTGCCAATTATCCATATTTTCAAGGAATGATTTAACAAAACATGATGGAAAGGACCAACTCCGCAATCAATGTTTGAAATGAGGGTGTAAATGCTAAATTTAAAATGATAGGGACTATTTTTGCAATGAGTTCAAAGGGATTTTTTTTGCTAATTACCATTGAAAATGAATTTTTTTAATAAAAAAAATTAATTGTAAAGATTTTCTTCGATTTTTAATTCAAATTAATACTCAGGCATGAATCAATAATTTTTTGATTAAATAAATTATTCGGTATTCTTGCAAAGAATCAATGAATATTTTACGATATTATTTGTGAATCAACGTATTTATTGCTTTCACCCATATATTAGTTGGTATCATGGAGAGGTTCATTCGTGATAGTATTTGTGTTCGTGGAATTTAATGACAAAAGTTATGATGTATGATGCAGGGGCGGATCCAAGGGTTGGCTGCACTGGGCTGTAGCCCAGTGCAGTCCAAGCCCAGATGTAATAAATGTTAACTCAATAGCCCAGATGTAATAAATATTAATCCAGTAACCCATTAACCCAAATAAAAACCCATTACCCAATTAATTCCCAATTAGGCAATTACCGAATTCTTCCCAAAGACCCAAACCCTTTCCCTCCGGTTTGAGCATAAGCCATCAGCAGCCAGAGCAGAGTCCTCCTCATCCGTCCAGCGAAGTAGCGAACTAGAACAGGTGAACAGCCTAAGCTCGAAGTCTTCTCCTTCAAAGCTTCAAACGGTCAGCAGTCAGCAGAATCCTGTAGAGGCTTCACTGCTTCAGCATTCGGTTTCGACTTTCGAACCTAGAAGTTCTTCTCTTCCGACTTCACTACTTCTGCACTTCAGCCTTAGCGCTTCAGACTTCGACTTCTTCAAGAATCAACAGCCAGCAGGAGCAACCGAGCAGGTCATTTTATTTTCTAGTAAAACACTTTTATTTTATGATTTTCATTTATGATTTATGAATGATTTTCTTGGAGATAAATTGGGATTTATGAATGATTTATAAATTGGGGATGAAAGTTGGTTATAAATTGATTATAAATTGGGGATAAAAGTTGGGGATAGTTTGGGGATAAATTGGGATTCACTCACAACATCGATTTATAAATGATTTGTGAATGGTTTTATCCAATTTAATGATTTGTATTTCACTATGAATCTGTGCTTGAGTGAAAATTGGGGATAAAAGTTGTGATAGTCATTTACATTTACAGATTACTCATTTAGACTTTAGCTGTGAATTGATTTTTATTTGTTCACATGTGATGTGATGCTGTGGATTGTGATGATAGACATTTGGAATTGTGAATTGTCAAGAATAGGCCATGAATTGTGATGGTAGAATGTGATGTGATGCTGTGGATTTGTTCACAATTGATGTTTTGTCTTGGTGAAGTATTACATATGATATAATGATAAAAATTTATAGGATATTGAAATTTTTTGACATTTATGCTTTTAGGTTTAATATGGAAGAAGATCGACCTTCTTCCAAGAAAGGAAGAACGTTGCTATCTTTTTTTTTCAAAGAGCAACAAACATCGGGGTACTCCAATTCCTACGACGTCAACTCCAAATCCAATTTTATCTCCTGAAGTTGAACGACCTTCATCTTCTAATTTTAATTTGGAAACATCTGATTCTATTGAACGGGACCTAGGAAAAAGAAAGCAAACATCTGAACATCCATTTAATGAACGCGATCAGATGAGGCGAGCTTAGCGAGCCTATCTAAATGTTGGACCTATCAACCAAAACTTTTGGATTATCGGAGTAAAGAATGTGGAAAGTGGAAAGTAGAAACGTCGATTTCAGGAGAGTTGGTATAATCAGTTTCCTTGGTTGGAATATTCACCTTCAACACATAAAGCATATTGTTTTTATTGCTTCCTTTTTCTCAATGATAGTGCTCCACTTAATATTTCATCGTTGGTTACCGTTGGATTTGATAGTTGGAAGAGGGTTAACCAAGGAAGTAAATGTGCATTTCTTATTCATATTGGTACACCATCTTCATCGTATCATAATGGTCGTGAGTATCCTACCATTGAACATCATTACCACTTTTATATCTTCAATACAGCCATAGATTTTCAGATGATAGAGTTAGATATAAGATTTAATAAGACATCATTAGAACTCCTTTCTTTCAGTACGGCTTTGGATCCAAAAAAACTCTTTTGAATCATTTAACATGGATAATATTTGCAAGCTTGCAGAGAAGTTTTATCCGAAATATGTTACGCAGCAAGATATTTATTGTTTGAAAATTGAGTTGCAACATTATCAGAATGATGTGATTTCTGAGCCTCGATATCAAGTGTCTATACTTTCTAATTTATGTTGGGAATTGATTGCAAGTAGAAGGTCGGAGAGTTACGTCATTTTGACTAAGTTGATTTGTTTAGTACTTACACTACCGGTTTCAACCGCGAGTATGGAGCGAGCATTTTCAGCAATGAAACATGTGAAGACAGAAATTCGTAACAAAATGGATGATGGTTTTCTGGCCGATTGTTTAACACTAAACATTGAACGAGAATTTAGTATAAATTTAGTTTTAGATTCTATTATAAATGAATTTTATGCTATAAAACATTGTCGGGTACAACTGTAATATGTAAAATTATATTACAATTTCTCTTATTATATATAACTTTTATTCGTACATTACATTTTAAAATTTTTAACCCACCGTATCCATCATTCCTAACTCCGCCCCTGGTATGATGATAACAATTTTTGTTCCTTTAGATCTAAAAAAGTCGATGGATATAGATTTGGATGATGACTATGATGGTCGATCAAATTTTGACAAAGAAGTTGAAGAATCTTTGGATTTTAGTTACGAAGGTTTTCCAAATTTTGACGAAGAAATTGAAGAATTTTTGAATTTGGATCATAACAATTACGATGAATCCCTCGTTGTTGTGGAGAAATTGAAAAATATATGAATTTGTGTGATGACGATTACGACGTTTTTACCAATTTTCTATGAAGAGTTTGATGTCAGTGTTTTGATAGATGGTCCAAACAAATCCAAGTTTTTTATGGATAATGTACCAATCACAACGCCCATAAGAGCTTTAATCCATGTTATCTTTGTTGTTTTCGGGTCATTTTATATTTTCAATTTTTCAAAACAGTGAAAATGCGTTTTCTTTCCTATTTTCGAAAATACGTTTTTGAAAACAAAAAAATTGTACTAAAAACACCAAAACAAGAAAAATCTCGTTTTAGGCGTTTTCAGTGTTTTGCACAGTATAAATTGGAAAACATTCGAAACACCATTTTTGAGCTTTGGTCCTTGGCTTCTCTCTTCTTAACTCAAAGTCCCATCTCTTCTTCTCTCTTGCCCCTGTCGGCTTCTCTCTTCTCGACGTGGCGACAGGGAAGAACCTGAGGCGAGGCGGAAGAGGCATCTTCTTAAGGGCTAAGGCTATGTAAGAGTCGTAGTTTATGGAACGTTTTTCATCGCCTGGAAAGGAAAAAACACGGAGCCTAAATCAAAACTAACCCTTCGCTCCCAAATCAAAACCCATGGAAACCTAAATCGCGATTGAAGCAAAATGATATTCTGGAATCCACCATCCCCAACTTCATATTGTAATCGAACCCTTAAACCATCCATCTTGCATAAACGTAGGTGTTGAATCACAGAAGTCCCGTAACCTAAACCCAAAAGACATGAAGGACAACCAATTCCACGCACGGGTGAAGGTAATTCCTAATTGAACGATTTGAAACCATCGCCTGAATTTTCGTTTACTGTTTTGAAGAAATATGCAATTCTAACTGTTCAATTAACGGAATTGTTTAGGAATTTCGTTGTCGCACATAGTTCGAGCCAATTTTTTGGAATTTATTTGGTTTTGCATCTAGTTGATGATCTGGATTTGGTTTTGTTTCCAAATTTTGAATTTTTGGTTCAGTTATCCTGGGCTGTGTATTGGGTTTTGGGGGTAATTGATTCTGAAGTGCCCTTTGGGGTTTTTGGTTCCTGG